GGGCCCCACCTCCCGGCAACAGCAGAAGGAGGAGGAGGAGGAGGAGGAGGAAGAAGGGGGGCCAAGCCCCCATCCCTGCCATCCCCACCACAACAACAAGGTGGTGATTGGGCGCCCGTGGGCTCACCCAGGACCAATGGGATCTCCTCCTTTCTTTTTTGGGGAGGAGGAGAAGCAGGGCAGTGGTTTATGGGACCCTCTGCCCCCTCACCTCCACCCCCGCGGGACGCAGAGCCGGTGCCCAGCTGGTGTAAATCAGCAATGCCGATCGCCCCGCGGGGGTAAAGCAGCTGCTGGAAGCAGCATCGGGGGCTGCTTCTCCTGAGCTTTGCTGCTGGGGTCCCCCCACCCCAAGGTGATGGGCTGCGGCCTCCCTGCAAGCACCCCCCAGACCCCCCCCCAGCCACTTTGGGCTTGATTTGGGAAGGGATAGGGATGGGGATGCTCTGAGGCAAAAACCTGGCCCAGGAAGAAGCAGCAGGGTGTGCTGGTGCTGAGTGTGGGGACGAGGGTGCTGCTCAGCCCGTTCATGGATGGATCCTGCAAACATCCTCCCCTGCTCTTCTGAAGAGCATGGAGATGTGCGGGGTTGGGGGTTTGTAGTCCTGTCCCTATCCCCCTCCCGCCTGGCCCACTGGTATGCTGCTGAGGGAAGGAGGAGGAGGAGGAAGAGGAAGAAATGTCAGGTTTGCCTCTCTGAGCCCTTTTGTCCCTGGAGGGAGCTGGGTTTCATCCTGTGTCTCAGTCCAGCCTTGCCCAAGCAAGTACTGGCTGTGGTGGGCACCTCTGGGTGCTGGACATCTCCCAAAACTGGGTGCTGCTCTGTGGGGATGTGGCCTTGGGAAGGGAAAGCCGGGGCCAGTCTGGGCAGGGCCACGTGTGATGGGCAACACTGATGTCTGGTGACAGCCCTGGGGTCCTGGGCCAGCTGGGCTTGCAGCAGGGTCCCCTTGGCTCAGGTCATTGCCTCCAGGAGGATTTGCATCTCTGCAGGGAGTGGGATTTGGCTGTAGGAGGTTGCAATGAGGATGTGCATGTCCCTGTGCTGTCCTGGGACGTAGGAGAGGATGGGGAACGGGGTGGAGTGGGGTCTTCTTGCCTCTCCTCCTGCCTGGCTTCTGCAAGAGCCTTGGCTGGAGTTGGGGGGCTGCCCCTGGCAGAGGACCAGGGCTGTTTGGGGAAGGCCAGAGGGGAAACCCACCTCCTGCACCCCACAGAGCACCCGCGGGCTCTGCCAACCCAGAGCCGAGCGAGCCCCAGGGACGCAGAGACAAGGCCCACGGGCTGGGAAATGGCACTTTCTGGGCAACTCCAGATCTGTAAAAATCCTGCTCATGTGAATTTATTTTTTTTTTAATCATCCTCCAGCTTAGCTGTTAAAAATAAGTGGGGCTGAAGACTGGAGAACATGAAAGCATCTGGAAAATAACAACCAGAAGTACTGTGCCAGTAGCACTGCCACCCCTTCCCTCTCTCAACCAACACTTTTCCATGTGTGTTTTTCCCTTCTATGAATGTCTTTGCATGGACCCCATCTGCGATGTGCTGGAGCAGCAGCTCCTCAGCGCGGGGAAGGTGCTGTATGCCCGTGTCGTGTCCAGTACAACCACTAGACGGCAAATCCAGCCCGGATTATGTCTGCAGAAAGATCTGGTCTGCAAGAGGAGAGGTTACAGTGCTCAGAGCAGCCCAGATGCTCAGACCATGGTCTCTGCATTTTGAGATTCCTCAGACACGTTTCATGCAGTTACAGAAAGGGCTTTATTCGTCAGTACGGTATCTACAGTTCATGCGCCGGTGATAGCACAGGTTTTTTTGGGATTTTGTTTCTATAGTGTTAGCATGCAGTTTAAATGCAGAGGGTCTGGATGACCTCATCAGCTTTGCAGGTCATCTCCAAAGCTCAGCCGCCCCTTTGGTTCTCAAACGAAACTGTCCGAGGAGCCAAGTTGGGTGGTTTTTTGGTGAATTCAAACGTGCTGTGGATGCACGTGTCACCGTGATTTATTTATTTATTTGTTTTTTAATGGGAGACCCCAGTTCCCTGGGCAGGGAGGGAGCTCGGAGCTGGTGGGTGGGATGGAGCTGGGTGTGTGGGAGCTCCCTGAGCAGCCGGGGGTGATGGTCCTGCCCTGAACCAGTGGTCTGGGAGGAAGATGTGAGACATTCCTTGGGCACAGCCCACAAACAGGCTGTCTCTCGGGATGTTTCTCTCCACCCTCAGCAGCTGACAGCCCCTCAGCAGGGGCAGGAAAGGTTTCTCTCCCTTTGGCTCTATCTCTGGAGCAGGAGGCTGGTGGAAGGGTGGGGAAAATAGAGGAGGAAGAGTGAGTTTGCTCTCTCCCATCCTAGAGTGAGGGATGTTGGCAACCAGGAAATCTTTAACCCTTTACTTGTGTAGCTCCCAACCTCCCACATCCTCCTCCCACTGACTGCTGGCACTGGCCCGGGGTGGATCATTTTAGATCTGCTGGTTCCACAGGACCCAAACGTGAACCCCTCCGCTGGGCTCAGACCCTCAGTGCCGTGTTTCGGAGGTGGGATGAGCTCTCCCCCTTCCCCGCTGCATCCCATCCATGCTGCATCCCATCCAAACTGGGCAGAGATGGTGAATGGGAGGCAGCTGCAGGGAGGGGGATGTCAGAGGAGGAACAGTGCTGGGACCTGTCCCACCTTGTGTGGCCAGAGAGCTGAGAAGGGGGAGTGTTTGGGGGCGAACGGCTCGTGCCCACCCGCACGGGCTGGTGTTGGAGAACCCTTATTGCACTATTGCGGAAGCCAAGTCGAACTGTCAAGCTGCATTAAAACGGGCCCTGGGAACAGGGGAGCCAAGTCCTGAGGATGGGGAGGGGGCTGGGGGGGAGGCAGGCTAGATTTCGATGATGGTGGCACGCCGCAGGCACAGCGGGGCGTCGGGGGGCACCGCGTTCCGCTTGATCTCGTTGCCGTCGAGCCGCAGGACCTGAAGCCTGGAGTAGTTCATGACGTCCACCACGGTGCAGAAGCTGCTGATGGAGAATTCTGTGAGGGAGAGAGAGGAGACGGAGACCTGAGCACCAGCTTCGGCCTCGGCCCTGACCTTCACGATGATCTTTGGGGAGTGAGGTGAGAAACATTGAGGGGGGCTGCTCTGGAGATGGGTCTGAGGGCACCGACCTCCGAGAGCTGGTTTATGTTGAAGTGGGCAGGAAAAAAATGAAAGCACCCCTAAATCACCAATTCTTCCTGCAAATTTGGACTCAACACCCTCCTCTCTTAAGCTAAAAGGGTAGGCGATGCTTCCAGCTGGAGGCAGAAGCAGCCTGGGAGTTTGTGCCCACTCCAGAGTTCAGAAGCAGCATCAGTGCCCACCTGTGCCCAGCCTGGCTGGAGCGCTTGTAGAGAAAGCACCGGGTGGAGTCAGATGAAAAAACATTGCTTTTGATTGCAAATTACCTTTGCAGCCTCTTTCATGAGGTTTCCAACACCGTAGCCTCCAGCCCCTGACTGCCCCTGGCCACCGTGGGATCACCCGGGCAGCATGTCCAGGAGGAAGGACATCTCTGTCTCCATCCCATGGCCACAGACATCCCCTCTCCATTCCTCTGCCAGCACCAGGCAGAGAAACTCCAGCCCTGCCCGCGCTGGGTTTGGAGGAAGAAAACGGAACAAACTCCAAAAATTTTGTGCAGGATTTGGGAGAGAAGCGACCGACTAGAGGGCAGCAAAGCTCCAGGCCGGACTGCTGCTGGGGAAGGCAGCGGAGTGCTGGGGGACCCCTGCACCCACAGGCTGGGGGACCTGGGGGGGGCTGCGAGCCCTGCACTGTGCGGGGAGGCAAGCGAGGACGTGCTGGTGGGGGTGGAGGGGCACGACCCCAGCCCTGGTGCCCCATGGGGTGGGATGTGCCCCCCCAAAGAGGTTGGTACGTCACGTCTGGACCCACAGCCCCCCGCTCCCGGGGATGCTCTAAAGGTCAGCGGCAAAACCCGCAGCTGGAGGAAAAGCTGCTGTAAGGGCTGAACGGCTCCGCGGTGGTTTCGTGGCATTTGTGGGCAGACGTTAGCAGCTACACGTTTTCAAAGCAAACATTTGGGAATCTGTTCGTGGTTTTGTGTTTCTGTCGGTTCCTCGGCGCGGGGTTGTATGCTTCCACTGCACTGACACGTCCCCGTCCCCATCCCAGCCTTGCTCAGGGGCTCCAGCGCCACTCCAGGAGGGTCCTGCCCTCGGGGTCTGGCAGGTGAGAGGAGCAAGCCTGGATTTTTCCAGGAGATTGCTTGGTTGGGTTGTGCGGGTTTTTTTTTGAGCTTATTTTTATAAATAGCAGCCCCAGAACAATCTGTTCCTTTTATTTATTTGTGTATTAAGTGGAGTGAATTTTAGTCCTGGCAGAAGATGCTGCCTCGGTGGCTCTAATAACTAAGGGCTCCCATCTGTCCCAGCCCCAGCAAGGATGTGCCCCTCAGCTGCAGACCACAACTCTTGGGGGGATTTTGGGGCCATGGACTGTGCCAGTGCCCGGCTGGCAAACAGGGCTGTGCCGGGCCTGAGCGCTGCAGACCACCGGACACCGCAGGGCATGTCCCTGGCCCCTGCTTTAGCACTGGCCAGGGCAATGCGTGTTCCCACGGGCAGTGGCCATGGCTGTGGAGACCCCCCACCTGTGTCCCCAGGTTGTGCATCAGCTTCCACCCACAGCTGGTTACTGGTGTCTCTAAGCAGAAGATGCTGAGACTTCTGCTCGGTGCTTGGCAAAACCAGTGCAATGGCTTTGTGGATCGAATGGGAACGTTCAGAGCTGGGAGCCTCTTGGCTCCAGGTGTGTTGGGACACAACAGGCCCCATTCCTACCTTGCTCAGGGACACCTAGAAGTATCCCAAATTCCAGCTTCCTGCTCAAACCATTACCCCAGGTAGTTTCCGGTAGGTTCTGCATCCCCATCTACCCATCACTTTGTCGCGCCACCATCCCCTGCACCTCCGCGCTTCGGTTGACGTGTTTCTGCTCACCGTTGATTTGGTTCCCTTGAAGGTAGAGGTTCTCGAGGTTGGTGCTGACCCGAGGGATCTTCTGGAGCCTGTTGTAAGAGAGGTCCAGCTCAAGGATGCTGCTGCTGTTGAAAGTGTTGGTAGAGAGACCTTGATTTGTCAGGCTGTTGTGAGACATCCGTACATAGAGCAGTTTGGGAGAGACCTTGAAATAGTCATCAGGGATGGTGTTGATGTAGTTGTACTCTAGGTAGAGCTGTTCCAAAGCCATTGGGAGCCCATCAGGGACTTTCCTGAGGTGGTTGTAGCTCAGATCAGCAAGGATCAAAGACTTGAGGCCTTTGAGGGATGCTCCCATCTCAAAAATGTAGTTGTGGCTGAGATACAGGGCTGTGAGGTTCTCCAGACCCTCCAGAGCATTGGAGGGAACCTTGGAGATCTGATTGTAAGACAAGTGGAGCTCTCTCAGGGACCGGGGCAAGGGGCTGGGCATCTTGGTTAGGTTGTTGTTATTCATGTACAACCTCTCCAGGTTTTTGAGCTTGGCAAAGACCCTCTTGCCCATCTTCTCACTGGTGATCTGGTTGTTGTGCAGCGCGAGCCATTCCAGCTCCGTGGCGTTGTCAAAAGCTCCCTCTTGGATGGCAGCGATCTGGTTGTTCTGGAAGTAGACGTATTTCATCCGGGAAGGCACGAAGGGCAGGTACCTCAGGTTACGGGTGTCACAGTACATGGCTGACGAGAAGTTAGGGGGGCAATCACACTCTTGGGGACATTGCCAGGAAAGGGTTTGCTGAGCTTCAGGGCCAGGCTCTGCCTCCGTGTCTGGAGCCGGGAGGTAGGAGTACACGTAAGGGGTGTTCTCGTCCTCGTAGTAGGGCACGTAGTTGTAGGAGGACATCCGGGACTGCCGCATGTAGTACTGTAACCAAGCCAGGTCTTCTTCTTCATTGTACTGGCCCAGGGAGGCTCCGCAGAGCCCAGCGATGATCAGGATGGTGGCCCAATGCATGGTGCTGATGCTGGTGGGACCTGGCTGGGGGAGAAATGGGGAGGAAACCATCAGCAGTGGCAAGTCTGATGTAAGAGCTAGAGGCAGGCGAGCTGCACCCTGTGGCCTGGGAATCCAGAGGGGCTGGATGTGGTTGCAGCCCTGCACGGGGTTAGTGACACTTGGCAGCAGAGCTGGAGAACCAGGGGACCTGAGTGAACCCTACCCAAATAAAAGCAGCTGCAGACATGTCCCCCACTTGCAGTTACCTGATCTTCCCCCTTTTCACCTCAGACCTGCTAGAAACCTCCGTCCCAGGGGATATTTGCTCGCAAAATCTTTATTTATGGGTATTTCTCTTACGAGTGAGTAGAGGATGGAGATACGGGGCACGTGGGCACCCAGCTCTGCTCCGAGGGGCCAGGGGTTTGCCTGTGCCGGCTCTGCACGGGAGGGAGGAGAAAGGGCTCGGCCGCTCTCCGGCCAAGCGGAGGAGAGGAGAGCGGCCGCTGCGCGAACAGGTTGATGGAGCTCAAGGCACGTTTCGATGGAGCTATATTTATGCTTCGCTCGCTGGTGCCACGATTCGCTGTGGGTTTCATCCAGCTCTCCCTTTCCCCACGAAAACACAGGATGCTGGTGCTGCTCCTGGTGTAAATCCTGGTAAACAAGTTCTGCCTTATTTTTGAAATGAAACTAATTTCAAGCTCAGGTTTTCTGAGCTCAGCCCCGACACGAAACAGGGCAGCATCCGCCGG